TTTTTTTTTTTTTTTTTTTTTTTTTTTTTTTTTTTTTTTTTTTTTTTTTTTTTTTTTTTTTTTTTTTTTTTTTTTTTTTTTTTTTTTTTTTTTTTTTTTTGGTATTGGGAGGAAGTTTAGAACATGTTTCATGAGGTATGAACTTGAATATTTTGTGCTGCTGGTTTCTTTTGGCTATGATTCTTAGCTGCTTACCGTCTAATTGGGATTGCTGGTCTAGTAATTTCTGAATTAAAAACTTTCACTCTGTTCAGATGTTACGATCGCTATTGAGGTCTTCTTCTGCTTATTATTTGTATATTCTTTTATTGAATTAATCGTTATAATTTTGTTAAATCTATCTTCTAGAATTTAATATGACCCTGTTATTCATTATATACTTAGAGTACATTGGAATTTTGAATGTCAGAGGATAGCTTTGAAGTTGTTTTGGTTTTCATTTTGTTCAAGTTTCATTTTTCATGTTTGTTTTTCACATTTTCAGGAATTATGCGGATTGTCTGCCAGTATTTTATTTGACCCCTTGCAAGTGTGTAGGGGGATTGCATCCGTGACATTGAGATGTGAAAGATTTTATGGTGAGTTGCCATCTATAAATTGGTAATGTCATCATTAAGTTGGACTCAATTATTAAAATTTGGTTCATCATTGATTTGGATTACGTTGGATTTTGGGCGGTAACTGGCCGTCAACTGTCTTGAGCCAAATTTCTTGTTTCAGCATTAGATGGTTGTCTTCTCATATCCGTGACCAAAAGATGGATGAGGAGTGGGAAATTGGATTGTTATTCCCCAGTTGGAACAGCAAGAATCCAACTGATCGCCTTTTTGTTATTTCTTGCTTGAGTGCTGCCATCATTGGAATTTTGACCATAGCCTTTACAGCCTTCCAATGGCGGAGAAATATCAATTTGAGTTGGATGAAAGCTATAGCCAGATCGAAGAGAAACCCAAAAAAAACTAATAAAGTTCCTGTAGCCGCGCATGACTGGATTTTAGAATCTGTATCTCGTGGAAAGAATTTGAGTTGTTGTGTGTGCTTAAAGTTTGTGTCCCCTTCACAGACACTCGGTCCTATGGTCGCTTCAGATAGTTTTATCCACCGTTGCAACATCTGTGGTGTGGCAGCTCACTTGAGCTGTTCTTCTAATGCTCAAAAGGATTGCAAGTGTGTATCCATGATCGGCTTTGAGAATGTGATGCACCAATGGGCTGTTCGGTGGACTGAGATTACAGATCAACCTGATGAAACCTCTTTCTGCAGTTACTGTGAAGAACCATGTAGTGGGTCTTTTCTTGGCGGTTCTCCAATATGGTGCTGTTTATGGTGCCAACGTGTAGTGCATGTTGATTGCCATAGTAGTATGTGTAATGAAACAGGTGATGTCTGTGACTTAGGTTCATTTAGAAGGTTGATTCTGTCACCACTTTACGTCAAGGAGTCAAATAGGACGTCCTCTGGTGGATTTTTGAGCTCCATCACCCATGGAGCAAATGAGATTGCATCATCAGTGCGTGCAAGTATAAGGAGTCAGAGTAAGAAGAATAAACATAGTCGTAAACCGTCTATTCATGCAAGTAAAAGTGGTAGTATTCGTGATATGTCTACAGAAAGCACAGCTGATTCTCATCACACAGTTAATGGTTATAATGGAACAGAAAGAAACATTAATGGTAGCCGAACGTCAGAGCTTCAGCATCAAAATGGTGATATAGATGATAAAAATATTTCAAATTCAAGCTTCAAAAAAAATTCTTCATTCAATCAGAAGGATGTAACTCATGTAGGAATGAACCTGAGGTATGAGGTGATCGAATTGCCTCCAGATTCACGTCCCTTGTTAGTATTTATCAACAAGAAAAGTGGAGCCCGCCGTGGAGATTCTCTAAAACAACGGTTAAACATGCTTTTGAATCCTGTCCAGGTACTGTCTTTTCTCCACTCTATTCTGGACAGCCTAAAATAATTTGTTCAACCTGTTCTATACTCCTTGTTTGATACCTGGTGATAAATGAGGCAGACAGCAATGTTTTGTGTATAGCTTATGCACAACTTCCCTTTCTTAATGGAATTTGGTGGGAACTTGGGACATATATGTCTGGGTCTATCGAATATACAAAATTGAGGTCAATGAAACCCTCTAAAGTAACTGATTTATTTATTTTTATA